TGTGGAGGTCCAGCCTGATACAAATGACGATGGATCACCCAGTCTCGAAATTATTCATTTAGACTGTATCTTTCGTAGTGCACATCTCATGCCTGTATTCGGCGATTATGGTCATCGGTTCATCCCATCTGACATTGATTTCACTAACTCACTAGATAAATTTCCTACGTTCTACATTAATAAATATATAGACCATCATGCCTTCGGACTTAGCCAAGGATGATTCATAACTTGTCAAACTTGATTTTATACTTCATGTACTTGGACCACGCTTGGATAACACTTTGCTCAAAATGTCTGAATGCTTCTACTTAGACCAGCCTACGTGTCTAAATGAAGTTGAAGGTGAATTGGCTCGCTTTCTTGTTCACTTGATAGAGCTTTAATTCCTTATATTTCTTGAACAGTCTTGAAAGTCAGCAAAGCGTGACCAAGTTCCGTCAAGAAATTTGACACTTTACTGATGAAGCCCTTTCTCCGCGTCCTTGTCAAATATAGCTAACTTTACTTTCTGTAGAAGCTCATGCAATGTCTTATGCCGCAGCTGTATTAAGGCCGATGTGATTTTTTTCACTTATCACCCCATCGTCCTGTCCTCAGATCTATAATCGCAATCCTACCGCGCCATCCGTCTTCATCATAGCTCGTTAATGCCGCTGCCAGTCGTTTGTCTAATAAACGCGTTGGCTATCCTCGGGCCCGCAGAACGAGGTACCTATATAGATACTACGTGGGGGTTGCTATGTCTGAAACATCTGTCGACCCAATAACAAATTAGCAGGAAAGATGCCAGGGGCCAGGTACATTGACACGCTATCACCGGATTTCGCGCTCCTGCAAAGGACTGATCGTGGCGGCACTCAGCACAGAGTTTGCCTTGATCACGGGCATCATCGTTCTATATGCTTCTTTCCATGGGCTCTGACACCTACATCAAGGTACGAATTTCTGATGATTCGCTCATCGTGTGTGTTACTCGTGAATGGTTAAATCAACTATGCTCGTTGCAGCCGTTTTCTAGGTTTGTCTGAATGTTGTTGAACATCATTCCAGGTTCGTCCCACTTATGTCCCTGCTTCCACGTCACTCAGTACTCAGTCCTCGCGGCTTGATGCTGTAATGCTTAATAGATCAAGCTATCGTGCTATCCATAGGCCAGCATCATTGGCAAACCTGTAGAACCAGGCCAGGCATATACTTATCGCTGTACTATTGTGTACTTATGTTCCTAGGTAACCAACATTGCGCCCAAACATCCTTACATGTGTTCAATTGACCATGTGAGTACGTCATGGTGTTCTGGAAGTCTATTTTGACAATACCATGCACTAGACCACACGATACCTTATGACATATGTGAGACTAATTGTCAACAGTACAACTCAGTATAACCAAGTAGCACCTTCCTACACAAGCTCTAAACTCAAAAATACAGTACTGTGCTCTTGGAAACCCGGCGGGCCAGCGGGCCAGCGTACCAGTAATCAGCTGAACTAACGAGCGACAAAAAATAGCAAAAAATACAAGTGTCCTAACTTGAAGCGCTGACAATGATCGCCGATTATCGATCATCCCCGTGGGCGTGTGGCACACAGATATACCATTCCATTGTATGTTCCATACATGGGAGGGTGATTGTTAGATTTAGGGATGCTACGTTCGTTCGTACGCGTTAGCCGGAGTATTATACCAGGAATAGGATAGATGAACTCACGTCCTGGTTGATCGTACAATCAAACACTGTTGCATTCCGTCGATACATTCACTGTGATTTCCATCGGTACTGATGATGAACTGGTACCGATGCTATTCACTTTGCCAATATCATACGGATCATTAGCAAATGATGTTTGCGTGTTATTTGAAGACATTCTGGTTTGGGAACTTGCGACAAAAAATGCGCCCGTGTCACGCCTGTCATGAACCGTTACAAATCCACTGGAAACAATTGGCAAAACCGCCCCCCTGGATGATTGTTCCTTCATGTGCCGACCTGAAATCCATAGAGTGGCAAAAACCACTCCGAAAATGGTTATAAAGTTGTTGACCAGATAAATGAGGGCAATTTGGGAGAAGGAGCTTTTCGAGATAAAGATGAGGCTGAGTTGGATGATATTCAAGACGACGGGGAATACGAAATTTGATAGGGCAATGAGGAATAGTCCGCGGAAGTGTTTACCAATACCTTGTGGTTTGAAACAGAGCTTGGTAAAATGCTTGAAAAAGAGATATCGTACTGCTTACCTGAGTCACCCTGTCCAGACACAGCATATCGCTGTAGTCGACGTAGGAACATGAACGAAACAAATCTATCCTCAAAGCATAAATTGGAAAGAGCATATTTATGCGATGGTGGACTCACAAGTTATTTACACACTGCAAAATCCACTCCAGTTTGATGCGCCAGCTGTTCCTCAGGGTTTCGGCGGCAAGAAGCGAAATAGCTACTCCCTTCAGTGCGCTGATATAATTGTGCAGAAAGAATGCTATGTTTATTATCCTAATGACCATGATGGTGACAGGAAACGACAATATGGCCAAAAAGATGAGCTTTGGAGTGGTTTGTAGAGGATACACCGTTATAAGGCGCAAAAGAAGGGTGCTTTCTGCCATCATGGGACCCAGTGTAGTTGCAATAGTATATCCGACAGCCGCACCTCGTAATTCTGGGACATTAGGCGATAATATAGAATGTACCTCGTAGCGTTTCGGTCAATCTGACTTGCGAGGCTTCCAAGAAAGAGCATACCGACAGATAAATGAGGAGCGCTCCTTGTAAGAGGCCAATCAATATGCCAAGGACATTCAGCACAAATACCGGTTGTCGACGGGAATGGGGTGTGGAGAAGGCGAATATCGCAATAAGGATTGGTATTAAGAACGACGAAAGGATAGTTCCAGGGAGTAGGAAAGTTATCATAGGTTGAAGAATAGCGATGAAGTTTGTTCCCGGAGGAGGAGGAGACCATGTTGCCAAGTTTGCCGACATACTCCTGGAAAGAAAGAAAAGAAAAAGACGAAAGAGAAGGTCGAATTTCAGGATCCTAAAAGCAGGTACTGCGATTGTAAGTACTTGCTCTGCTTATATGTCCAGAGCGGAAAAAGGTGGCCAATGAGGTAGTCGGGTATTATCAGGACCATCAAGTACTAGAACGCCTTGATCTTATTATTCGGAATCTCAGTACATAGCCGCTGCTTCCATAACTATGCAGTTGAAAGATGGAAGAGTCCACGGGAATCCTGCAACATGTGATCATCAATCTGTTGATTTCTGACAGTCCGTATGGTCACTGAAGCTCACACACCATTATCTATCCAGTTGCAGTGCAATCCTACTCCAAATAGAAACAGGATTGTCTATATCAACATTGATAGCGAGATCCCGAGACAACCAAGTGTCGTTGTCAGTGCAACTTCATTCTTGCCCACGAATTCAGAAGCTGCCACTGCTAAGTTGGATAGAAACTGAGCTTGCATCGCCGCGATGGACCATTTATGGAGAGGCCGGCCGGCAAGTCCCGCCGTTGGGTTGGGCTATAATTTACCTTGCGGTTCCTCCCGCTCAACACTACTGTAATGCTGGCCATAGCCATCACATTACTCCTATAACCACACATGTCAAAACGAACTGGGGGAGCTTTAAGCTGCACTCTTCCAGAACTAACACTTCCCGTTGACATGTCACCGGTAATAGCCAAGTGTCGTCGAAGCTATGAAGCTCATAATATATGAAGTCCGGTGATGAACTGTCGACCGAGATGCGGTGCGACGTCAGAACACGGAGTACAGAACTATGCAGGCAAGCATTGTTCCCAAACCAAAGTAAACTTGACAGGCGCAAGGCACCAGGGCGACGCTGGAGTCCTGATGCACATATCGTATCCGGGTAACAATACTGATCGAATGATGTGAGTCGAGTGTATTTTATCTGTATATAATGTCAAGGTACACGATTGACACATATACCATAGCTCAGAGTGAGAATCTTAGAAGTGATACTCACCATGAGGAGGACTTCAGGAGGTGTAGCAAAGGTGTATTCACCGAGCCAGCAACTCGTTTGGTCAGATTCATCTTCTCACGACCTCCTAGACTGAAAACTTCTCAGCATTATATAGGCTAGCCGCGTCATTCTTAGTGTTCATAGGAGAACATAGAAGCATGAGCTTGGGCTGCGCGCATACAGTAGCAAAAATCCCAAATTTGAAGACTGCGCCACACTCACGGGATACTTATTCCACTACACACTATGCCACTATGCATATATGTGGACTCCAGAACCTTTGTGCCGCCTCCCGCGAAGCCATGCCCAGAACGATTGATGCGTGGCTTAGATCAATGCATTATGCCAACAAGAGGTGCACAGAAGTGCGCAAAATTAAGCGGAACCACAGTTATCGTTAATTGTTGAGTGGTGATGTGTTGGTAGATACTACAGATGTAGATGATAGAGACTGCTTGTGAAGCAGTGAATCGTGTGATATAAGTAATAGCATGGCGGGAACGCACCTCTAATTATATATATGCGATAGATTTCGGCATCTTTCTCCTACGAGACACATCTATAGCACAGGATTTTCCTCGTATCCTCGTGCATAGTGGACTCAGATCTGAAAACCAAGGCTACGCATGCACTCTACGTGTCTGCGAACTAGCTCTGCGCACTCGCCCTCATCTCCACCGGTTTTGCTTTGCAAAAAGCAGGCATCGCGGGCAGACTTGGTCTCTGGACAAGCACAACAACTGAAAATACATGCGTCAAAAGAGAGTTGGTGTGGTGTTTGTGAGAACAACAATGCGGTGTAGATAAATTGGAGAGAGCAAAGTTCAGAGTTCATTCTTATTAAGAAAGAAGCAAGCTCTTAAAACGTACGGCTTAAGCCCTTTTGGATTGAGCGGATTCATTGCAGGGTTTGTTGGATCATATTTCGCCTTCTCTTCTGTTGGAGACGATGCAGAAGGTGTGGAGGACCACCAAGAGGAAATCTGCCATACATGTGAGTTTTGGGGTTATGATTATGATTAAAAGAGAGATAACGTACGCTTCCAAACATTATAGATATGTGGTTTTTCGACACAGATATGATAAAAATTTCAGGCCAAAACCAAGGAGTGCAACGTCGAGTTCCAAGTTAAGTTTAAACTGCTGACGGATGCAACCCACTCGAAAGACGGATCGGAGCACTACGGCACCTTCCTAACTTAGAGGAACCGGAAGTTGCCGATTATCGGCCACAGTGACTGTCTTCCGTATAATCATAGTCCTGATACACAGCACCACAGGCAAGAAACCGTGGCGGCTAGTTTGATGCCACAGAGGTCATGCGCGTCAACCTAATAATCTCGGCCTGTGAGCCCGACCACCCAAAACGCCGCCTGTTGTTAAAGACAAAAGACTATGCCAGTTAGAGCTTGACAATACTGAGCTTATGACTGGTAGAGCAGACAATTTGATGTCGTGAATCAATCATCTAGTTAGGTTTTACTTTAGCTGGCTCCAGACGAGTTTATTTGGACGATGATGCATCGAAGAACTTCTAGTTCTGACCCTCAAATTCAAAGCTTCCAGGCTGCAAATTTTGAGATTATATACAGCGTGCTTTCTACGGACATAGAACGTCCTGGATTATTTAAATCATATTGTATGTACTAAGTTGTGGGTTGGTGATGACCTATTTTTTACAAAGGTGAAATCCGGCATGCCAGCTGCACATAAGACAGACTTGTTTAGCATGGAGATTTCTACGAGCATTCATGTTGCACCCTGGCTACTTCATCATGCGAATACATAATAGCAGCTTGTGCGCTTGTTTCCCTGTTTTTTCGGTTTTGGCTGTGAGTTTGTGACGACTGTCACCCGACTGGTACACAAAATTACTGTTATTCGCTGCTCTGCGCTGGTCGCTGCGCTATAGCTTCCGGCGCCTGCACTCATCTTTGAGGTGGAGCTTTGGTGGAGCTATGTGTGTGCTGTGTAAGAGCTTATCGGGATCCTGCGCTGCGTTGTTAAAGACAAATGGGACGACTGAATTTCGTTTCAACACTAGCAATATTCCTTGTAATGCCTACTCATGTGCTACTTCTAGCTCTAAAAACTCCCTCAGACCGCTTCGTAACAGTTCCTTTGTGTATGCCCATAACACCGAAATAAATTCCATCAAATATTTAAAGAAAGCGACGGTGGTCATCCGCTGGTTCATACAAAGTTAATGGGTGGCATATAGGCGTAGAGGCATACATACTAGCAGTTGTAATTTCACTTCCATAGAGGTGCTGTCGCGATAGAACGCATACGTGGCCACGATGAGAGCAATACCTCCCAAGATATAAAACTGGAGCTCTCGAACATTTTCCTCGACATTGGCATAGATGTAGAATTTCTGTTAAGTCAAGTCATTGAAATTAGTGATTATATGACAGATCATTTTTGCGATAGACAAACTCACCCATGTGCTTGTCAATGAATCAAGCAATGACTCCCGGGCATCCGAAGCTACAATCCATAGATACATGACTAACGGGCTCGAGAACACAAGAGGTAACATACTGAGCTGTGCTTTCCATATTCTGATGTAAGTTGACTCGCTTTTTTCAGCGGCAGCGGCAGCAATGTAACCAGTGGTCCGATATTGTTTAGCCTAAACAAAGTGAACATATAGTTATCACGCACGTATAAAAATGAGAGGTACGTACACAAATAATCTGAATCAAGTCATCTACTGCCCATCAAAAAGAATCCTCCGCCAAAAATCATAAGAGTGGCGTACCTTCATGAGTGAGAGTTTGAATAAGGTCTCCCGTCTTAGTTTCCCAAAGGGGTACGTTTCCACGGGGGGCACCAGATAGGACGACTTGACCATTGTGGGTAAACGCAACTTCAAGCGGTACATTCCTAGTAGCGTCAGAAACATATTTGAAAGATTGCTTTAACTTGGATTGTCCCAGAGGGTAAAGTTCGATTGCTCCTGAAAGATTTGACAGCAATAAAGTCCGACAGTTGGGCGACAATGCTGAAAAACCGCTATTTACGGGAGGTACTCGTGCACTGTGATATAGTCACATTAAAAAGAAAGCTTACATGTAACCGTGGTCGTGTTCAGGTTCAATCTGCCAAAGGCGCGCATGACTATCGACATCCCAGCAACTGTGTTGTAATAAATCTGAATAGACTCAAATAGATGGAGATGAGATGAATAGACCTACATCACCCCATGATTTAAGTACGATACAACGAGTCGAGCTCCATATTTCAAAAAATGCAATGACCGTGGCCTGATTCGGTTGTCACTACGTTCTTCGTTGAATTTTCCCGGCTTTGGGAGAAGATTGTAAGTAGCGTATCTTTCTATAAACATGTCAGATTGATAGCATCAATGTGAGAAAGTCCATTAACCTACCGTGCGATATATCTCGAGCAATATGCACTTCAGGACCTACTCCGGCAGCGAGGGTGCCATGGGAAGCATCGAATGCGAGACAATATACCGGAGCCTCTGTACCAAAGAGGATCTTTTGACTGCCAGCCTTACTCTACAATAGAATCGGCATTTTCAGCAATACCGTCGCCATCACGAGTCGATTCAATTCGTACCTTAAAATCATTTATAAAACCTGCTACACCATCCTCACAGCCAAACACGAGCGCACCACGCCTCCTGGGATCCCAAGCTAACGAGAGCACTGGACTGTTCATCGTTACTTGGCACAAAGAAATACCTTTCATTACATCCCATATAACAAGTTTCGCATCATCCCCACCACTGGCTATGTAATTCCCCGAAGGTGAGAAAGCCATGCAATTGACGGTATCTTGATGGCCATCGGTGAGATCATGAAGGCGAAAATATGGGCTTTTAAGAGAAGTCATTGAGATATCATACACCTGACCAGGCGCGCTGTCATGCACAGTAAAACGAGTATAATGCTTAGGTAAGCTTCCATTGCGGATCCGCGGATCAGCACGAATCGCGCCCACATGCATTTCGCTGCATCAGCATTCTGCGTTTATCACGATGGATTTGAGGCGTTACGAGCTTCAATGGTCATTTACAGGCCATACTCAACCCATCAATGTGCTGAAGTTCTCCGAAGATGGAACGGAGCTTGCCAGTGGAGGTAGGCTATCTATAAGCCAATATCGATTTGAATGGGAACTGACATATTGGCCGTTCTTAGCAGATGACGGCCATATTCGAATATGGTCCCTGACAGCTGGCAAGCTTAAGCAAATTATCAAACCAAAACAAGGTCCAATCTCGTGTTTACTCTGGTTTTCATTTCCTCAGGCCCCTCGTGACTCGTACATAATGTCTGGGGGTGCAGATGGAACCATTAAGATGTGGCAGAAGTTTGAATCCGCTGACTCTGTTCGTCGATTTTCAATTTTATATATGATTATGTAGGTACTTATTACCAAAGTCTAGGTTGAGTTCGTTTTTTCCACCATGATAACTGTGTACGATGGTTGCATTGAAAGCATGTCAATGAATAACGCACAAAGTCTACTTGCTGTGGTAGGTCTGGGGCGCCTTACACTGTATGCTATGGACATAAATCAGATTGGTAAGGTCATATCATTCTCCAGCTCCGCACTCCTGACGTTGTTGTAGTACCACTCCGGGAGATTCTTTCAGAACCCCCACAAGCAGAGGCACCTCGACCAGCACTGGCGAGATGTGTTCATTTTTTTGACGAAGACCGCGCGATCATGGTTGCCTTTCTTGACTCCAAAGAAATGTCATTATATTCGTTTGGAGTATTTTGTATGTGCTGACGTTAATGGTAGTATAGCGTGGACAATTGCTCCATGGAAGAAGTGCTGGTATGTTAAATTGCATTCGCGAATGTGAGTAGTCTTTTGGGCTTGATATTCGAGTCCGCCATAGTCAAATAATTGGTTTATCTCTTCAGCGGTAATACTTCGTGGTGGCCTGCCACTAGATCTCTTCTAGTCTCGAATCTCGTCGACGGTGTCGACATATATCGTATAACCGACCGACCAACCTTTATTCGCAAGTTACCTGTACGCATCACACGTAATTATACCAAGCAAGTTCATTTTGGATGGAACGGGGCCTTGGCTGTATGTGGTAGCGATAGGGGAGAAGTCTACCTGTGGGAAGTAGAGTCTGGAACTCCACATCAAGTTCTCGTCCATGGGGGAGGTCAGTATTTTGTTCTGTTACGTCAGACTTACTGATGATCAGGTTCTCAGAAACCGAGTTAATTCAAGCTGTCTCTGTGAGTCTTTTTAATACACCGCACGACATGTTTTGTTGAAATTTTATTAATATTTTTACTTGTCATTTAATGCAGTGCTGCTCGCCTTCGAAAAAGAAACATATGCTAGCAAGCGGTTCAACGGATGCTGGCAACTGTCGTCCCTCCATCAAAGTCTGGGTAGCCTCTACTACCAGTAGTCATATTACACCTAAGGATATAAAGGTGATAGATAACTCGACTACATCGACGAGAAGAGTCCCTACCACTACCATGAATGTATGGATACGCTGTATCCTTGTTTCTGTGTTCTTCATTTTTCCTGCTGCTGTGGCGGTATTTGCCTATTGTTACTTATCCATGACAACAACTTGATTTACACCTCTATGTACATTGTAGATGGGGTGGACATAGTGACGAGGGGGCGGCCAGACATGACGGAAATCAAGGCCAATTGACGTGTTTTACCAAATATTCGGACTTGAAAGCAATTTACACTCAAAGCGGAGATCTAAGTACTGTGATGTAGAAAGATGGCATTGACTGATTCATTAAGAAACACTAGGAGCAATGCCTCACCTTCTATGTCAAATCTGCGATCTACCTGTTCTTGCGAAATCCCAGATATCTGTGACACCCTGTAGTAAGCGTTTGTGTCCTTTGTGCTTGAGCATAGTCCTCACCTTTTGTTAGATCATATTTTCTGCCGATTATGCATCGAAAAACATGTCGAACTAGACGATGCATGTCCAAACTGTGGTCACAAGCCGCTGAGCAAGAATTCCTTGAAAGTTATATATGTTACAGGGAACGAGGACACTATTGACACAAAAATGATGGAAATCGCCATGCAGTGAGTTTGTGTTTATGTTTCTCCATAACATCTACATTGGTAACAAACGTTAAACAGAGCCAGTATTGGATCCAAGTCCTCGCAGGGCGGAACTTCCCTGGAGGATCTCAAAGCGAGGCGTGCTACGCTTGAAACAGAACGAATGGGAAATACTCGTATCATTGACAACCTACAAAGTCAGCTCGAAGCCTCTCGTGTGCTGGAACAAGAAGCTCACACGCAACAAACAAATCTGGACAGGACATTACAAGAACTTCGCGTCAAGCATTCGCAGCTGCAGGAGGCTTTGGAAGGTACTAAAAACCAGGTATATTTCAATCAATATCCTACTTCAACGATCGTCTTCAGTTTTATTCTGTAGCGAGGCAGGCGAACCTGAGTTCACTCCACTGGTATATTGGACAGTATTGTAATGGTACTTTGGTGAGACCAGTCAGATAGTAAGATTTGAGCGTTCATAGTATATTTTTATGAGATGTCTGTCACGCTCGTATAATGAAAATGAGAAGTATATGTTATCCAGAATACCAGTAATTGAAGGCCTGAAGGCTTGTTGTCGAGCGTAAGTTATAAAGAACGCAGCTATGTACTATCATACTGTGACGAGAACTACCGGTACATAATATATTCAGAATACTAGATATATCTGTTCTACCTCCTACACTATAAATCTCCTTCATCATCTGAATTGTCGACTACATCATATAGGGCTTCTGTGAAATCTTCAGTGTCATCATCAGTGGTATTGACGGATTGCTGCCGCGTCTCACTATCTTCTCTCCAAAGCACCGACTCACTCATGCCTCCAGGTTCTTGAGACGCAAGTAGTATAGGACTTCTGAAAAACTGAACCGGTTGCTCAGTGACCTCTGTGCTGACTGTAAAATTTGCAAGGGTGGGCGTTGGAGAATTAGTTTCAAGTGTTTCTTGGGTGGCACCGGCTAGGTTTGATGAATCACAGGGAGTATGCTGGCTTGACAGTGGTGATAGTTTTTTAGGACTAGGAGGTATAGATTGGGGTGTTGGCGTGAGGTGGGCTGCCGATTCCATCAGCAAGGAACCATCGACACCTTGATCTGACAGTGGTGGCACAGTTTCTTGCATTGATTCGTGGCCCAGATTGGAGTCTGAGAATGGAAAGGATGTTGGATACTCGACATGAGATTGAACAGGGTCTGTTTCTGGAAAGGAAAATAAGAAAGGTGTTTTGCTAAGCTGCCTTCGCGATGTGAGTTTATGTATAGGTCTCGAGCTGGAGACCGAGGCTGGAGCCGCGAGATCACTTGGCAGTACACCAAACGAGAATTGTGCACAGTCTGCGTGTGTGGAACCAGCAGCAACACTTTGTACCGGCGGCGGCATGCCAGTATGCTGCGTGGTAAAGTTTGATGTTGCTACGGGCTGATCGGTCCCCACTCTGAAAACATAATGTTGTTCCTTCATCTCCAATTTCTTTATCTCTTCGTTGTCCAAGGAAGCCAGCCATTCTGGCTTATAGCAATTGCACGGAAGGCCGGGCGGGGCCACAGATTTTAAATTAACCATATCAGAGTGTTTCCTGTGCCTAGGTTGCTGCCCTCGAATCGCACGGTGTCCAATCCTCGGCTCGCGTCGACGTTGTATGACAGTATCGAGATTGTGCATGAATCTAGACAAGTCGTCGCTGCGCCACGCTGGAGTAATCCGGACAAAGGATTTGTGCGAGTGAACGCTAGCTTCTTCGGCATGGGGGTCGTCTTGGTCGTCGGGACCTTCTGGTTCGGATTCATCTGAGCTCACGGCCTGTGATCCCATATTTTTCATAAGGTCGATATGATGTGCCATATAGCTCTCTTGCAAGACCACTTTGAGCCGGGCATTGAATAGCTACATAGATAACGTCAGCGCAAGACATAGTACAATCAAGTCAATTGAATCATTTACCCGTGTTTTCCTAGTACTCCTCGAAGAGTTCTGTAGCTGCTGAAGTCGCTTTGAAATTGACGGATGTGTTACAAAAGCTCGGTATTCCCCTTTGACGTGCTTGAGGTGAAGGTAGAGGGAGAGCTCGATGTACTCAATTGGAAGATACTTTTCGGGGATCTGAGGATAAGAATACCAACGATCCGTCACAACAGAGTGCCGGAAATGTTTCGCAAACACGTTGATACAGTGACGGTTGAATGGTGAATTCCGAGACCTAGACAGGTCGATTCGAAACGTTTCTGGGGAAACTAGGATCCTTCCAGGGGCATGTATCTCATACAATTCATTTTCTTGGTCGGTTGGGGGGGGGTGAATGCGCCTTAGATGCGGATACCCTTCTATCTTCAGAAGATGTAAGAGATGTCTTTTGATTTTTTGCTATGAAATGGCAGAGATTAGTTAGCATGATGGGTGAGGAATCATCAAATATATGTACTCGAAAGTTAACGTGTTCCGGCTCTTTGGAGTAGGGATCGATAGGAATAGGCTTTTTTGGTGTATTCCGACGTGAACCTGAAATATGAGCTCCTGACTGGGATGTAGCAGGAAATGATGCCGACTGTCCCTGACTTGCTGCCTGTCACTGCGCCCGTATTTCTAAGCGTAATTGTTTCATTTCTTCGGCATTCTGTTCAATCCCCGACTTCAACGTGTGTGTTACGACTGCAAAGTTCCGGGATAGCGAACCAAACATAGCGCCAAGGGCGCCACTGGCCTCATCGTGGGTGTCAGTATTGTGCGGTATGTTGCCTTGATGTGGCCATGAGCTACTAAGTGGCTGTAAATGAATATACACCGACGAATCAGCCAGTGATTCACAAGCAATAAGAGATCCTCCTACTGGTAGATTGTCTACTAATACTTTCTCCTTATCGCGTCGAGCACGCTCTTGTCCTATCTAAGGGGGGTTAAGTGGGTAATACATTAAAGATCACAAGGCCACAAATGATTCACTTACTTCTGCTAAAAGAGTATCCCATCCTTGGTTTGCTGAAGGAACATGAGCATCAGCTTGCACTGGGTGACCCTAAAAAAACGTTGATGGGAATTATGAACATCTGAATCTTGGCAGAAGTGAGAGAAAAGACATCTACCTGTTGATAGCTCAGCGGATTTGGGATTGTACTTGTACTCGGCTGAAAAGTGAAAGACGACGGCTCTACGACAGTACCTGAGAAGCTGTTTCTTTGAGTTAAGGTATTACTTGAGGTGGCGAATCTCGTGTTGGCTGGATTCTGAGTAGGCCGATGTGATGGGGGAATTAGGCTGGTAGGCAGTGTCTCCGGAAGGGGTTTCCCAGTTGATGCCTCCTCAATCAGGTGCAATGTGAGTATAATAGATTCGCAGTCGAGTGTCTCTTGCTTTTTGAGGTTGACTAAATTTCTGGATAACCAAAAAAAAGTAAGTTTTCGTTATGACAAAGCAAACTCGGTAACAAAGGATTCTTACGCGACCCGAGTCACAACAGATAACGGCACATTACTACTGAGTAGGTTCGAGATGAGAGTGTCCTTTCGTACAAGTCCAGTTTTCTCGAAATCGAGGCTCTTGAACCAGTTTTCGGCTCTCACTCTGGTAGACGGATCAATAGGCCAGGTTGAGGTATCAGAATGGTGGCTGGACTTCACATGGGACAGGGGGGCTCTTGACGTGATATACATTACGGGCGGTAAAGTTGTCGGAACCGTTTTCAAGCGACCACTCGATAATAAATTTGCCAAATGGACGGCAATGCAGAAGTCGTCGCTATCCAAAGTGTTACAATTCTGAGTGTCCGCAAGCCCACTAATGAAATCAGACCCAAGTAAGAATTGGCATTTTGAGATAAATGAAATTATATCAAACCGACCAAATTTGTAGGAGTAGTTCTGAAGATAATCTCGACTCTGACAAATATTTCCATGCCTGTCCCACTAAATGAAGTACTGTTAGCGTAAGCAACTCTATTACATAAGCGAACATCTAACTGACTATTGATGGTACCATTTTTTGCCCCTAATTTCTCGAAGTAACCTATAAACTGCCTTTTGGCTTCTGGTTGTATAACCCACATGTTAGTATCGGCTGCTTCCAGGCTATTACCATACAAGGCGCTAGGCTGAGCTATCCTGCCGGCTCGTTCTGTTTGTTGCTGCTGAACTGGTTGAAGACTTGTGAAAGCCCCATTCACCACCGAAGCATGAGATGCGAAACGGACCCCTACCTTGTGAGAATCGTAAGTGGTAGCAAAGAAGAAAGAATCGCCATCACCTACCTGTCTTACTTGTGATGATGGATCTGATAATGAGGATGCCGCTGGTTCTTTCAACTTTCCCGTATTGTTGACGCTGACAGCGGGTGGGGCACCATACAAGATATCCTAAGGACGGTTTGAATAGATAATACACTGCAAAAGCATTAGCAAACTCACCTGCATTTGGATATGAGACGGTGTACGAGGAAGGCTAGGTCGAGAGCAATTGTCTCTTTGACCAATGGCTTGTCGCTGGTGGTTATCCTGAGGTGTCTGACTGAGCAGGGAGGTTCGTTCCATGTTAACGTCAACCGAGACGTAACTATTTTCTTGCGCCCCATGCCCTTGATGATTCCATGCTGAACACATGTAAAGAATTAGAAGTAAATATAGCGCTAGTCATCCTCTTACCAGATGTTGTTGAGTTGGCTTCTGCAGGACGACCGGTGGATGTTGACGTAGTAATGTGAAAGTCCGGCATCTAATATAAAATTAATACGCGCATTGTCTCATTGATACTGGAAGAAATCAAAAAAGCAACTCACCAGTATATCCCGATGAGTTGAAGATTGTATTTCACTAGTCATCGCAATGACTGCATTGTCGGCGGTACTTGCGGTTTGTTGAGCTGATGGCTGAGAAGGGACAGGATACATCTGGATTGGTAAAGTTTAATACAGGCCCTATAACTTCATACTTACTTGAAGCAATTCCTGCAGGGTCGAAGGAGTCGACCTTGTTTCTCCTCCTGACATAGCGGGAATCTGGGTGGCATCTTTGATAGTCTGTAGGAATACACAATAGATACACAATAGCATCAGACATGATCCCAATTATATACTAATAAGTACTTACTTGCGGTGGTGCATTGGGTGCATTGTTAGTGGAAGATTGTCCCATGCCAGTGATTTGCTTCCAGACTGTGCGAACATTATCTACGATGGATGAGGGATTCTTCGAGGAGGCCACATGTGAGAGCTATGGATTAAAAGAAAAATTGTGTTTACCTCGGGAGCCTCCACCATATCAACATCTTTGGCGATGGGCGTCTGATCCGAAGCTTCAACATCCCTTTGTCTATTTTTCGATTGACGTTCCATAGCTCGTTCTGCAAAAAGTCGAAGGATACGCGGCCTTCTGGATGGTTCTGGCGGCGGAGAGGGTGGTTCCTTATGCCAAAGGTCAGTTGTTTTATTTTGATGTAGATGTGTTATCATTCTCACCTCTTGTAGCAACGAATCTTCTTGATGTTTCCTCGATTTCAGCGCGTGGAAGCTCTGTCGCCAGTCTTCTCCAGGACCACGCTTTCCGAGAACATTAATGAGGTCATTGTGTGAGTCTGTCAAAGTGTTCGCGTTCGCCGTGGAGGATGACTCGGACGAGTTACTGTGAGATATCGGTATCGACATGAATAATGGGGAATGGGGAATAATCCAGATAGTGGTAAACTCACCACAGTTCACAGTTCTAATATATTGTGTGCTGCCTCATGGTCGATCGACGAACAAAGGATTTGGCGCTGCAAAGGATGGATATATACAGAAATCGTCTGAGTTACGAATGGTCCATTTATGGCAATTGCTAGTATGTAGAACGATAATGTTATCAATGCAGCCTGAGAGTACTCACCATCAGCATATCATTACTCTGCCACAGATCTGGGTACTACATGCATGGTATGTTACAAGCTAGATATGCTTTGCCACCCACTGCATCGATCATCACATCGATAACGCTTATTGAGGCTTGCACCTACAGACTCATGCCTTTTCTGACTTTAAATTGATGAAACACTCCGATTCATCAGCTCTCAATCACACTTTCATCTCAACCTTTGGCATGTCATAATTTCATGTCCGACACGAACAAGTCGGCTAAGCTTAGTCACTGGCAAACCCACCAGGTGCCATCAATCAGCACTCCGCAGCTGGCTGCTGCCAGTGCCAACACCGGCTGTGCACCGGCTGCACCACCCCCTTAAGACTCGCCAAACGATGCCGACGCCTTCTAGGACACTAATAGAGGTTGCACCGTATAAGTGCCATTGCGTATGTACAGCATCCATACTGATTTCAGAATGCCTAGCTAGTAGCTAACTCAGCTTGATCAATGGCCTTTGTTCTGCGCACGTGCATGTATAGCAACATTTATGCCTCGACACTCTCAGTATTTTCCTCCCTTGATTAATCGTCGATTATTCAGCCCAGAAAGAAGTCCGAGTCCTGATGCTAGGGAAACCACCAATAGAACGATGTACCCGCTTCCGCGATTCAAACTAGGCGACTCAAATTCAAGTTTGGATGTAGCCGAGCATTTGCATATTCTCGATACTGTAATTTTCTGTAGTGAAGATGATGTGAACCTCCCCTGCGCACCTTTCCCGGAGAATAATATTGATGTAGAACGCCTGAGCGACAGGCCAAAGAACTCGGACCATGTAATTGTAGCCCCCACCCATACACCTGATACAGGAGTTAGAATTGCCAATACAAGTAAGTCCACATTCCTCTCTTATTTATTTGAGAGAGGCTCACAATAGACAGACGTGAAAGCAGTAGTCTCGGATCTGCAACAAGTTGTGGGGCAGCAATCTGTTCCTCCCCTTCGATCTATACCTGCTCCGCGAGGGCCCCTTTCAAAGCCTGGATCTGGTGGATACGCACTTTTTGATGAGCTCAAATGGGACAGGTCTACATATACCAACATTCAGGTCAGTGTCCTATCCTAAGCTTTTGACTATCTCCCTCAATCTCGCTATGAACGCAGACAAGTCTGCACGAGCTCTGTCAAGAGCATTTTCAAATTACTCTACCTTATCACGAGCAAGAAGCTGACGCTCGCTTGGTTTTTCTTGCGACGGTAATGGGCTATTTTTCATTATTATCTTGGTTGACACCATTGACCCGTACAGGCCCGCCGTCGCTTTCCAATGCTCGAGGCATATGTAAATACTTGGCCAGCACGAGATTTTGCGACCATGTATCTAAAGAATACCTCCTCTCAGTGGCGAAGGAAGGCCAGAATTGCATGTATATAAGAAATCGTAGGTTATCAGGTAGAACAAGAACAAAGGGTTGGTGTGATCAGAAAATGTAAACAATTGTATCATACAGAAAATAGCATATTACAACCACCCCACAACCAGCAGGGAGCCGCACTATCATTCGCGTTTCGGACGTTTCTGGGACAGGTGTTGTGAAACATAGACAACGTCGCAAATACTGAATAGAACCCACCGAAAGCAAACCAATTCTCGATGCATCGTGTTTACGCTTCCTCGTTGTAGCCTCCACTGGAAGTAGAAACCTTCAGGTTAGAGATTTTCAAGTCAGAAGATCAGAAGGAACAATGCACTGCTCACGATGGATCGACATATTCTCGGTCTGTAAGCGCGAGGAAGTATTGGAAGATTCTGCGTCTGATATCTTCTATTACATGAAGACACTGTTAATAGTGAGACAAAGCTTGAAAAATAGATAAACACACCTCAGATTCTACACGCTCTAGCGCAGCTACTAGCTCACGAATAATGAGAAGTTCTGCTTGAATCGCAATTTGGCGACCAATAAGCACAGTGACAGATGCTTTGCTAGTCGTTTGGGCCGATGACAAGTATTTGAGGTAGTTGAAGATACGTTGGCGTTGACATGCGATGGCTTTCTCAGTGTCGAGAATGCATGATTGAAGCTTGTTGGCCTCGGCTTCGGACTTAGCTTTCTCAGCATTCTGGACATTGATCTCTCTTGGGTGGGTAGGATGATTAGTAGCGAAAAGTAGCGTCACTTGCATAGCAGATACGCTTACCTCCACTTTATTGCGTCAGGGTTCAAGACGTGGTCGTCCTTGGCGAAAAAAAATGCGGCCAATCTCCCATCGGATCGATGAAGGCGTTGGGTTGTGGGGCACTTGAAAGGACATTCCCCCCCTTGTTGGGTGATTTTTTCAATACACGCAACACAGAATACATGGCCTATACAACATGTAGCTTCAAATTCATACTTCTGAGAGACGATGAAAGCAGACTCACCACATGGAATCACCAGAGGTTTGGTACAGGAATCATCTTCGCAAGAGAATTCGTCAAAACAGACGCAACAAGTCGGGCGCATGATTGCTGTACAACCTATAACAAAGGTAAGAAAGAATGGGAAATATCAATAGCGAGAACACTCCCTTTATACTCCTGAGCCACTGATTAATATGCGTAGCATATAACGTGGCAAGCGGAGTACTTACCTTTCGGACATGTATGACGGTGAGTCGAATATCGAGGTCCCAGGATTCAAGCGTTTAGCAGAAGTTTGTGCTGTGAGCACACCTACAAGTATCGCGAAGTTGGGTGTGGCGGTAGGTGCGAAAGGAAAGACGTAGATCGTGGTTGGTTATCATATATTATCCGTACGTACCGTAGAACTGCATGTACAAGCTCAAGTTCAAATTTCATGAAGTGATTGTTGTGCGTCACGCGGAATATCTGAGTCGAAACATTGAAATATCGTTACATATATACAGTAATCGATCACATATCGCATTACCACGGTCACGCCCTATCGATTAATACCCCTCGATTTCCACCTCGACTTCCACCTATCAGCTTGTTTTGGGGGCTCTCCTTAAGACTTCTTAAGACTTTCAAGGTTTAGAGCGTTCGTACGTCGAGATCGCTTTTTTACGCCGCATTGTTAGCAGGTAAATACAATTTCAGTTCTCTCTCTTACCGTGACACACAATAATAATATTATATTCAATTTTGCCTCGTGGACCTGACGTCAAAAATGAGGGAGGACAAAGAAAGATGCATGGTAGAACAACGAAATTCAAAAAGATAAAGGGCGAGTCAGAATTCACCAGTTTCAAGCATACCATTCTTTCCTGGCCCAACAGTTGACGTATCGGACACATCTTACCCATCACGACCTTGCTCTCGATATCATGCCTGCTCTACGGACGCCTATTCTCAGCAAAAAGGTAAGTTTTGTCGTTTTAATGTCACTCACGCCTCGTAAGCTTGGTTCTGAAATTATACGCACTTTGAAGATTCGCTCTGTCTTTGTCAACAGCTTATATTTTCCCGCATCTTCGAAGAAGCATCGTTTTCTGGATGTTGCTGTTCTATCGCCAGTTCCAACTCACGCCGACGCTCGACCCTTTCCCGTCGTTGAGCAGGTTCTTGGAACCAGGTTTCCAATCCATGACGCTTTTGTTGAGGTCACCGACCCACATGGTGTCGCTCAAGAATACCTGGTGTGCTTTCAGTATCACGAACATGCTCCCATCAACAAAGCATTACTTGAACTTTGTCCCCAAATATTTTGGAAAGGAGATATCCTTGTCTTGAAACGAGGCACCAGGAAATGGGTTCGAAGTTTCCGTGGTACCGAAGAGAAGTATTTAGCCAAGCGTGCGGTCGTCCGGTCTGTGCTTTTGTTAACTCAACTTACAGCTTACTCATCGTCATCTGCCATATCTTATTACAGTTTTCTTCAAGTGTCAGCGATACGTCTCGAACATGCAAGAGTGAATGGAGAAGAGGTGCTTTTTCCTATAGACGTGAATTATTGAGATCGTAGTGACGCTGTACATGATTCGTGTATCTCTCTTGGCTCGATAAATATGCACATATGTATATCATGGTATCTAAGGGCATACCAACCATAGCTTGTACAAAGGGTTCTGCCCACGATCTTTCATGATTTTTCAGTACCGTTGAAGGCCTTTTTGACAGTATGGTACCCCTAGGATAGATCAGATCGATCATCATGATCTATGAGATGGACCCCCACACGTGGCCTAGCCCCCCTCGTCACAGACCCCACCGAGCTCGCGAATCAGCATAGCCCAAATTGCCATCCATCAACTTTCGAAGTTTCGGGATCTTGAGAGAAAAATATCGAGTAACTAGTTCTCTCATCTTTTTTGGCTCTTTCTATCCCACAAAAACGGTACTGATTGGGCGCCAAATGCAACAAGGCCCTTTATTGTGATTAACTCATTGACTCTCAAAGGGCTGCACCTACACCAGTCTGCCGGTTCACGGCGAGCGAGTGGCAACAACTCTGGGCTTATATGAAGCGATGATGTAGAGTTGTGATGCTATCGCTCGTGGCTCTCTTTTTCGAAATCATTCAGTTTATTCGCATTATTAGCTGCATCCCCCATTCCTCTCATCCATATAACTCATTTTAGGTATTTCTTCGGTGTACCCATGAAAGAAACACGACCCTCTATTCAATATCGCCTCCGATTTCGCAAGTTTCCCGAAACTCCATACCGTGCCATACTGCGTAGTCTGGAGGATGTACGTATTTCAACATTGCATTGTTCAACTTTCAACGCCAAACAATTCATATATTAGGACATTCCCATTCTACGTCAGCGTTTTCCACTGCAAAAAGTCATGAAAAGGCGA